GCCCCTTAATTTCAAAAATATAATAATCTGGAGGGAGGGGGTTTACATTCTCCATTTTAAAAAAAGAGGCTCCTGCCTTTCTTGGCAGACACCCGTCTTTTAAACCACGACAGGAAGTGTTTGGAGCCCCAGGAGGAGCTGAGAGAGCTGGGAAAGATGGAAAAAAGCCTCTTTTTCCTGGAGAAAAGGAGGCTCAGAGGGGACCTTGTGGCTTTACAAAATTCCCTGACAGGAGGGGACAGCCGGGGGGGATCGGGATTTCTCCCAGGGAACAGGGACAGGATGAGAGGAAACGACCCCAATTGCACCAGAGGATGTTCAGGTTGAACATTAGGAAAATTTCATCACATAAAAAGCAATTGAGGCCTCAAGCGTTCCCAACACAAAACATCCATTCAAGCTCCAGTCCCTGAATCTTGCTGCCTCTCCGGGCTGTGGAATTAAAAAGCATCACTCGTCAGAAAAGCCGATTTTTAGGACAATTTCGCCTGTGTTTGGCAGTAGATGGCAGCCGAGTGCCGCGGCGGGGCTGGGAGATGCCGAGGGGCAGCGTTTGGATGCAGGATTTGAGTCACGCCGGGGAAGAGAACCGGGCTGACACCCTGGATAATCCCAGTCTGTGCCCAGGGGCGTCCGCAGCGAGCAGAACGCCAACAGATGGTTGGTGTTGGGATTAATCATGGAATTCTGCATTTCAGGAGGAAAAGCTCGCGTTTTTATTGCAAACTGCACAAATTAGAACGGCCCAAACTAGGAGTTATTTATGTACTCACCTCTGAAACCACACGCTGCTTTCTGAATTGTTTTCTTGCACGCAGGTCAAAATTATCACGGTGTTCCTTACTCAGCCCAGCTCAATCTCATTTTTCTCTTTGTGTTTTTTTCCCTTTTCCATCTCATAATGCTTTTTCACTTCGGTGTTCTTGCACCATTTCAATGGCAGGAGGAGGTAAAAGAGCAGGAGAAATACTGGAGATAAACCAGGACATCAAAGGAACAAATCTATTCCCCAGCCCAGCTGAACTTCACTAGTGAGGCAGGAGTGTCTTCTCAGAGCTTCCTAAAAATATTCTCATTGATATTTTTTTCCCTCTGTGCTTTCTGAGGGATTTTTCCCCATTATCACCACAGCACTTCCAGCAGAGACTTTTCCTGACATTCAGCACCTGTTCCCACAGCCACCATTCTCCTCTCCTCCCTCCATGTCAAACCTCTCCTTCTCTCTTATTTATATTTTCCATAAAAATAAAGCTTTTCTCATCATCCCCTCAACTCTAACAAAGAAATCTTTCCTCTTTCCCCTTTCCTCATGCAGCCCTTTTGTCACCCAGCATTTCCCACCTAAACATGTCCCCTCAGCACTTCCCTGCCCCTGCCTGCAAGAACTTCTTTCCTTGGGTCTCCTCTCAGCCATTCCTATCCCTGCCCATCATCTTCTTAATTCTTATTCTGCAAATAATAAGATCTGGTCAGGGAATTACCAGAGATGCAATGACCAGACCTGTGCTGAAGCAACATCAGTCTCAGGGTGGTTTTGCTCAGGTTAAAACTGCCAAAAACCCCCATCCAAACATCCCTGCTGTAATTCCAAAGCTTTTCCCAGGAATGTGATGCTGTTACCTGCCTCTTTTCCTCCTTCCAGCCCACCATTCTTTTGGAACATGCTGATGAAACACAGCAGCAGTTTGCAGCCTCATAAAACTGAAACTCCAGGTCTCCATGGAAGCAAAATCCCAGCTTTTGCCTGCACCTCCAAATAAAGCCAGGCAGCCTTTTCCATTTACAGCCCACAAAAAAAAATATCAGAATGCAATTAGGAGAGATTCTTTGCCTGAGGCACAGACTGTTTCCTCCAGGAGACTCAAAGCTGGGGTCAAGCTGGGCTTTGAGCTGCTCATATTTAAGCAGTTGTTTTCCTCACATTTTAGCACAGGGCAAGGGAAAAGCAGCTTGTTAATGAGCATATTGTTCTCCATTTTAACTCCTGGATGTGGCCTGATATTTGTACTGGAAATCACTGGGTAAATGCAGGATAATAAAACACCTAAGAAGGCACCACATGGATTTTTTAATAGCAGGTATTTGTATAATAACATGGAGAATGTGTAGTTGCCTTAGGAGATATTTCCACTTTTTCCCAAAGCAGCTTCTTGGCAGTTATAAATCAGCATTCTGCCACTTCTTTATTGCTGCCTGGACAGGCCAGGATGGATTATCACTCCACAAACTACCCTGCACCTTTTGGGAATTGCTGCAAAGCCTGGAGAAAGCTTTAACTGTGCAGTCTCACTAAGGCTTGTGGCAGCTGAATTAGTACCAAGCCTCTGTAAATGTAATTTTCCCTTTTATTATCACAAGAAATGTCTACATTTATGGTGGAGGAAATTTCTATAGTGATAGAAGGAAAAAATATAGTTATCATTGGGTCAATAGGTATTTTGCTTAATGTCACACAAAATCAAACAGGGAATACTCTGATTTTCTTTTCCACAAACCCACATGTGTTCAATTAAATCTTAATCCACTGAAAATTTATGAGAAACTGAGATATTCTTTCCTACATCCCATTTATAATGCATGGAAAAGGAAAAAAAAAAGAAAATAATCTTTTAGAAAATTGCAGATTTTCTTCTATCAGGATTTATATTCTTCTTTTACCCTCTGCCCAGGATGCTGCTGCAATGCAATCCCCAGAGAGTGACGAATAAAAATGTGACATTTCAACAAAAACATCTCTTTAATGTCTTCTAGGTGCTGTTTTAGCATCCATTATTACCTGCAGAGGTGTCTTACTGAAGACAGTCACGTTCAAAACTGGAAATTAAATTTCCATTTCCTCAGACTTACATCAGTGTTACCACCTGAAGACCCAGTTATCTACAGTCCAAACCTCCAGTAAATAAAATCAAGTATTCAGAGAATAAATCCCTTCCCATTAATGCTGTCATAATTATACACTAGGCAATGGAATATAATTATGATCACTTCGGGCAGACTCACTTTGAGTCAAGCAAGATCTTGAACCTTTAAATATTTACGAAATTTCCATTTCTTTTCATTATCCTCTTAATTTATTTTAAGTTCAATGCCAAGGTGGTACAAGGCTCATTGTTTATACAGCTGGTTTTCACATCTGGCAGTTCATGACAAGATGAGGAACAGAACAGTGACATTGGTGGACAAAAGGTGACAGAGATGGACAAAATCCAATGTGCTCAACTGGCTACAGCAAAGGCTGACTTGAAACCTTCAAATGACCAAAATTCGTCTTAATGTTCTTAAAAATTCCCTTTTCTTTCAGCAGTTGACCTCCTTAGGGATAAAAACCCAAAAATGATGGCATCGATGAGTTAAATCAAGTACATAGGCAAGGTAACAAACACAGAACACTTGAATGGAGTCAGGTGCACGTGGGAAATGCAAACACAGCAGGAACAAGGAAGGAAAAGGTGTTTCTGCCTGATGAAATGCAGACCTTCACTTCCTCAGCCACTCCCCAAGTTCTTGAAGGGATTCTGTTCAGTACAAATACTGTGTGCTATTAAGGATTCCACACACTTTCTAAATTTACCCTCTACCACCAAGTTTAAACTTCACAAACAAGCAAACAGGTCGTTCACCAGTGCTAAACATTTACACAAACTGATCACACGTCAACCTGACGTGTTTTAACAGCAACAATCCCTTTACAGCAGAGCCTTTCCCCTACTTTTATTTTTTTTTTTTTGCTTTAGGTGCACAGTTCCTAAGTGATAATAAATAAATTTTTTTTGTGTTACAGCAGTCAACTACATACAAACAACACATACTAAAAACTACCTCACTAAATACCTCTCTGAAGGTAACTACTTTGTGTATATATTAAATTTCAAGTAATGATCAGCCCAAGTTGTTTTTTTTTTTTTTTTTAAAAAGAAAACAATCAGACAAACCAACAGCCACTAATTCCAGAGACAAGAACACGAAGGAGATAACACTTAACTACGAGGACTACAGGAACAGATACATCAATAGAAATGGGAAAAATTCTCAGCACTAAGGCACAATAGAATCAGTACTAGAGTATGGCTAAAACCTTACTTTACTACAGCATCAAGTGAGGAGTTAACAGGGAGTGTTCCTACGCTCAAAACACTCGGCTACAACATCAGTGAGTTCTGTGGTCAAGAAGCTTCTACCTTAGTGCAGCTGCATTGCTAATAAAGGAGGGGATTTCAGGGGGCAAGAGGGGGGTGCTCATTTATATCTTATTTATAATTAAGGGTTGCTTCCTACTTGCTCAACGAAATGGAGTTTTCTTACTCAATTTATCCCTTTACCTTCACTCTTTGTGAAATTATGACACAATTCTGATGGGAGAAAAGCAGGTGTTGGATGTTGATGGTCGCTGGAGCTGACCAGAAAACCTTCGACCAGAAAACCCCCGTTGTTTTTGGACACTGGCCAGTCTAGGCCCCAAAATTTGTCACCAGCATGATACAAAACCCACCTAAAAAACGAGATTAAGCGGGGTTTGGATCAAATACACACACACTCAGCTATGGGGTTTGTGGTTCCACCAGTCCAGTTCTCCTGAACTTCACCCCACAGGAAAAAAACCAAGCATGGATCTAAGACCAAGAGGTTTTAGGTTTAAAATAAAGGAGTTCTGGAGAGTCTTTTCAAACAGGCCCTCGGTAAGATCTGCCGCTTGCCCTTAAAAACAGACAATTTCTGGCACTTGTGGACCTCTGCCATTGCTTTTGGATCCGCTGAGATGCCACGAGTTCAGTCACCACGAACGGCTCCGGCTCAGAAGCCACCGGAGGAGGAAGAAGAGCTCCGAACTCCGCACATCCCGGAAATCTGGGCACGGCAAACCCAACGCTGCCAGAACAGTCTGGAAAACCTCTTCCCTCGCCGGAAAGCGCCGGAACGACGGCAGCGGCACCCGCCCGGCGCAGCATCCTCAGCAGCATCACCCGCACTACGCGCGGGGGTGCGGAGCGGCGGCCGCGTGTCCTCCGCGGGCCAGCGCGGGGCTCATGAGGTTCTCGGTGATGTAAGCCACGAGCAGGCAGATGAAGACGAGCATCACGCAGATGGATCCCCCCACGGCCGTCATGGCCACGACGATGTCGCGCATGGCCGCGGGCTCCACGCGGAACTCCACGCACTGCGCGGGCGGCGCGGGGCGCGGCGGGGCGAAGCGCGGCTGCAGGCACAGGCGGTAGCGCACGCTGCCGTGCGCCTCGGCCAGCAGGTAGTCGCGACATGCGGCTCCCAGCTCCACGCTGTCGCAGGGGAAGCGCGTGTAGGTGCCGTCCCAGGAGCAGTTGAGCGCGAAGCCGCGCAGGGAGGCGGAGGGGCGCGGTGATGGAGGCCCCCAGTGCCGCAGCCCCCACTGCAGCAGCACGCTGCCGTTCCGCAGCACGTTGGCCACCAGCGCACCGCCCGCGGAGCGGTGGGCGCGGCACCCCCGAGCCGAGCACTGGAAGCCGCGGGCCGGCGGGCGGAAGCAGAGCCGCGCCCCCGCTCCATCGCCGCCCACCTTGTAGGGGCACCACGGCTCGTCGGGGTCGGCGTTGGGGTCGGCGACCCCGAGGCACAGCAAGGCGAGCAGCGGAGGCAGCAGGCTGGGCGTGCCGGGCATGCCGGCGGTCGCCGCCGCATGGAGCCTGGGAGCGCGGGGCCGGCGGACGCGCGGGGCGAGCGCGGGGCGAGCGCGGGCTCGGCAGGCGCCGCGGGGCCGCCAATGGAGAGGCGGTGCCGCCGTTAACTCTCGCCGGGCTGCGGAGAACCCGCCCGGCCGCGGCTCTCGGGGCTCCGTGCACGGCGCACGGAGCGCGGACAGCCCGCGGGGGCGGGGGATGCTGAGACCCCGCAAGGGTCGGCACAGGGGGATGCTGAGACCCCGTAAGGGTCGGCACGGGGGAATGCTGAGACCCCGTAAGGGTCGGCACAGGGGGATGCTGAGATCCTGCGGGGACAGGGGGTGCTGAGACCCCGCAAGGGTCGGCACGGGGGATGCTGAGACCCTGCAAGAGCCCGCACGGAGGGTGCTGAGACCCTGCAAGGTGAAATCCCACAAGGGTCGGGACGGGGATGCTCAGACCCCGCGGGGGAGGGTACAGAGACCCCGCAAGGGTCGACACAAAGGGATGCTGAGACCCCACAACAAGCGTTGGTACAGGGGGATGCTCAAACCCCACAGGGTTGGCTCAGGGATGCTCAGACCCCACAGGGTTGGCACAGGGGGATGCTCAGACCCTACAAAGGTTGGCACAGGGGATGTGCAGCCCCTCCCATCCCTCCCCCCAGCTCTGCTGTCCCCACCGGGGTCGTGTCCCCCAGTGCTTGGGGGGCTGCTCAGTCCTGTCTTGGTCGAGTTGCAAATTTCATTCCACACCAAACAATGTTTTGTTTTTTTTTAATTTTCCATGTTTTTGATCTGGTTTTACATAGGATCCTCTTTTAGTTTTTATAGAAGAACATAAACATTTGTCTATATTTAACCCGTAAAATACAGCAATTCTCACGTTACATGGTTAAAATCCCCAGAAATGTGCCTGGGGGTGGCCGGGAGGTGCCTCTGTCCCCGAGGGCTGACACCACACCTGGCAGGGCTGGGGAAGGTGACAGAGCTCCCCTTCAGCTGATGCAAACCTTGTTTGAAGAAACGGAGCTCACACGGATTTGATTTGATTTTTCTAACAGTGATAACCGCACACCCAGGCTGCTTTAACCTCTTGGCTTTGGGAATTAAAATAAACTCGGCAAGGATGTCATACAGACACGAGGCCCTCCCACGAGGTCAGCTGAGAGCAGGGATAACTCTGGGTCTTAGTGCACGCCCCGAGACAGAAGGAAGGAGGAAATTCCTCTTCCTGCCTTCCCCCAAATGCCATTTCCTCCCTCTGCAGCAGGACCAGCCCTGCATCCATCCCTGCATCCATCCCTGCA